CCTAAAGGAGTAAACTCACTCCTCTAGGGCCTCGGGGGGCTACACCCGGCGGAGTGGCTCTGGCGCACCCACCGAGAATCATGAGTATAAAACAAACCCGACAAAAGCCTTTGAGAAACAAAAGTCTCGAAAAAACCTCGGGGAGAGTATCCCACACTCCCTACCGAGGCTCGGGGCCTCTTGTCGGATACCGAGAAAAAATGGGGTACCCCAAGCAAAGATCGAAAGCTGCTTAGACCCTAAAAAATAGAACCAACGGAATAAACAAAGCGAGGTCTCGGCCGAAATCTCGATTCGCCCGAGACCCGTCGCCAAAACCCAATGAAGCAAGCAGTTCTCCGACTCGCTTGAGACCGCCTCATTTGAGGCCCCAGCGTCGAGGCCCCCTCGCCGGGGCCTCGGAAGAAGTCTTGATTTCTTCGATTCGCGCGAGGCGGCTCGGCACCAACCCGTGACCGCCTTTTGACCAAAGCTGCTCGACCGAACGTCACATCTAGGCGCCCAACCACTCCGATAGACGCATACGATGGCGCAGAGCGGTGAAGTGACCGGCTACACGCCGGTCGCGTCAACCCCCCGCCATCCGAGGCGGCGCAGGCGGGGGTTACCGACCCCTTGTCTTTGCCTAACTCCTACACCAAGGACGCCATAGCGTGGGGAGTCGAGCGGGTTCTGTAGCCTCGAAATCAGCGGACCGACCACTCCGTCTCGCCGAGCCCCCTCGGCGGGGCCTCGGATTCGCGATCTTACTACGCCTCGCCCGTCCGCCTCGCCGAGACCCCCTCGGAAGGGCCTCGGGACGAATCGGTCGCGCTCCGCCTCGCCCGAGGCCGGGCTCGTTCCACAACCTCGTCGCCTCCGCCTCAAAAGTCTCTCTGGCAGGCTGTCACATCCGATTAATGCGCTCGGCCGCACCCACTACGTAAGCCACGATCGGCGGTCTTGGCGGCTGCGGGGGGAGCGGACGGGACAGCGGTCGAGATCACTTTTTATCATCCCCCTCGACAACACAGGCCTTGGCACGGCAGGCCTCGGCATAACGGGCCTCGGCACGACAGGCCTCGACACGACCGGCTACGAAGGCCGCCGAGCCTCTGCAATCCACCAAGTCAATAAATGCGCAGCATGTTACTTGCAGTGAAGACCATACCGATTAGACATCTACGGGAACTCCCACGACAACGCCATCTTTGCTCCAGAGTAAATCGTCATCGAATAGTCCTTACTCCACGTGTAGCTCTCTTATGTACTCTGGTTTCCTCCTGCGGCTATAAAAGGAGGCAGCCGGGACCGTTTCGGGGATTTACGGATATAATCACGAGATACTCTTACGAACAACACGCCTCGTTACGTAATTCATATCACCTCCCCTCACAGAGACCTGAGACGAATTCCCTCTCTCGCCTAGCTTGTAACCCCCTACTACGAGCACCCCGGTGCAAGGAATACAAGAACACCTTCTCAGACTGGACGTAGGGCATCCATTGCCCGAACCAGTATAAACCTTATGTCTCTTTGCATCTCCATCCGGAATTGGGAGCACGCAGCACAAATTCACTAGTCGGTTAAGGACCCCCGGTTCCGAAACTCCGACATATAGATAACCCAGAAGATTTGTGACACAATTGTGTAAATAGTAGCAACAATCAGAAAACAAGAGAAGGTTAAATCACATTCCAATGAAGCTATAGGTAATAAATAAAAAAGCAATAGACAGAAAGCTTCAAGGATTAAAGTCTGTCCACGCAGCCACACTAAACTTTGGCAATTCCAAAAAAAAGAAGATAGAAATGGCCTGTTACACACTTCCGTATAGGATTCACCTTTGCTACCTTTATGAACTTATATAAGGATACAAAATATGCTAAACAGCATACCCAAATCCCAGATATATGAAACATAGACAGCAACCTACATCCAGGTGACTCATTACTCATTAGAATTCGTGCATATTAAGCCACTAAACAAGACTTGGCCTCAGGGGAAGACTACACCCGATATTTTTTTTACAAAAGAACGAAATTAGGAGCCATAATAATACATATTTATATACCTGCAACTAGATTAGATCCGATTACAAATAGCTAAAATAGCTTAGCCTTAGGTTAGGCTTGGGGTGCTCGGTTTTGCACAGCAGGCAGGGAATAGAGGGGGAGGGCATACCTGGTGGGTGCTCGTTGCCGGAGAAGGGATTGAGACTGACGAAGACCAGGGAACCTGGAGTAGGGCGGCGGTGGTAGCCGAGTCATCGCCGAGAGAGAGAGAGAGCACGCGGGTAAACCGTAAACAGCGGCCGAGGATGAGCGAGCGAGCGCACCCGCAACGGCCCTTCTCTGGGATAATGGGCCGTTCCTTTTTTTCAAACACGGGTAATTCGTGTATTTTCTTTCTTTCTCTTTTTTAGTTTTTATTATTCTTATTGATTGATTTTAATTTTTTATTTTTAAGGAAGATTTGCATTTGTTCTTTTCGTAGAACACTGCCGGTCACTAGCGTAACATTGGTTTTAATTAGTGGCATCATAATAATATTTATTAGGGCATTTTTATTTTATTTTTATCGTTATGCTTCAAACATTTTTCTCTTTAACATGTAACAATTTTCGAGGCTGAAATTTTTATATTAAAGCTAGAACACTTTCCTTTTGAACATATAGCTGTGGAGAACTTGTCTAGCATGTACGACGGTTACTAAAATTAATGCTTTATTTCTTCTAACGTGGCTCAAAACAGTTTGTTGTTAAGCTGAGTTAAATTAAAACGTATTATCTGTCTGTTGTTCTGTCCCACTATTTTTTTCATGCTCATTGCATTAAAATTTTTGAGGCTCTCAACCCACTATTTTCTCATACTTTTATTGCTTTTAAAGTTTTAAGGCTACCGTAGCAACGCAAAGACATATGCTAGTAAGTCATATGAGTAAGTTAGGCAATGCAAGATAAGTACTAAGAATTAGTAGAAAATCAAAATAACAGGTGGTACATGGGGCTAAAGGGAAAGTTGAGCCATTTAAAGCTAGGTTCATACCAAAAGGATTTACACAAGGACAAGGTGTTGATTCTCATGTCTCCGATAAAGGTTCATTTAGAAGCGTCATGGTGCTTTTAGCTCATTATAACTTAAGTTACATCAAGTGAATGTTGAAGCTTTGCTATGGGGTGTTTGGTTCTACGGACTAAATTTTAGTTCATGTTCCATCGGATGTTTGGACATATACATAGAGTATTAAATATAGACTAATTATAAAACTAACTGCATAGATTGAGACTAATTTGCGAGACGAATCATTTAAGCCTAATTAGTCTATGTTTGACAATGTGGTGCTACAGTAAATATGTGTGTCGACGAAATATGGTCGGCAGTCCACCGAGGGGGGTGCCCGTGGTGGTAGATTATCAGTAGACGGTGCGCGTAATCAGGAACCAGATGGTGACACAAGGCGCAGAGACAACGATTTAGACAGGTTCGGGCCGTCTGGTCGACATAATACCCTACGTCCTGTGTCTTTGGTGTATTGTATTGAGATGTATACAGATTAACCTCCATGATCTAGATGGATTGTCCTCTGAGGGGGACCCCTGCCTCTCTTTATATAGTTTGGAGGAGGAGGGTTACAAGTAAAGTATCCTATTTGGTACTATTACAATATCTAGTACAATTTGTAATCTTGATGTGCACGCCTTGATCTTACGGGCCAGGCCACCTCGGATGGTGCGGCCCATGTAACACCTTGTGGTATCCGGGGGTATAGCCCCCACAATGTGTTAATGATGGTTTAATTAGACTTAATAAATTCATCTCGTAAATTAGTCTCCATCTGTGTAATTAGTTTTATAATTAACTCATGTTTAGTCCTCCTAATTAGCATCCGAACGTCCGATATAACATGGACTAAAATTTAGTCCGTGGAACCAAACACCTCTAAGTATTTTGTTACGAAAGGCAACAAGAACATGGGGTGCATATTAAAGAATGATATTTATGGACTTAAGCAAATGTCACGATAAGCTTTCATATGTTTATTGATTAATATTTAATCTAATGATATTTATTATGCATTATAATTATTAATGATGTCTTATACATATTTGATTAATAAAGTTAAAAGTACACATTTTAAGAAAAAACCAGACTTAATTTTTTCCATTATAAAAAAAAATCTTCGCGACTCGACATACTGACCGATCCAATCCTACTGACAAAACTTAGCAATCTTCGAGCTGGTGCCGTGCGATTTCTACGTAGGCTTTTAACGGTGTGTTATTATAAAAGTTAGTAATTATCTATAAATCATTAAAAAAAGTTGAGTTTTCACAGATATCACTATTGTGAACTCTTTTGTCCTTCACGCCACTTTCGTCAAATTTGCCTCTATCGGTATTAAATTGCGGTAGTGAAAAATCAAAAATACCCCATATCTGAATATGTAATTATTATTTTTGGCATCTTAATGATCTTAAATGAAAAAACTCAAAACTAGAAAGTTGTATATCTCGACAATATCTATAATTTTTGTATAAAATTATCTTCATTTAATTTTGTAAAAAAATATGATTTGATATTATTAATGTCTTAGGAAAAATCACATTTTTTTACGGAATCAAATAAAGATAATTTTTATCAAATATTGTAGATCTCGACGAGATCTACAACTTTCTAGCTTTGAGTTTTTCATTTGAGATTATTAAGATGCTAAAAAAATTAATTACATATTTAGACCTGAAGGTATTTTCGACTTTTCACACCCGTAATTTGATACCGTTAAAGTCAAATCTGACAGAAATAACGTGGAGGACAAATGAATTTAGAGCAGTGACACTCGTGAGAACTCAACTTTTTTAATTACTTATGAGTAATTACCAGACTTTTTATAATGTCACACAAGTAAAAGACTCGTTTTTATACGCTATCACTTCCCATACTCCCCGTGCGATTTTTCTACACAATCGCCTCGCAAAGATTCTCGCTGGCCAGTTGGAGCCTTGGAGGAGAACAGCCGCGATGGCTTCTCCGCCGCTTCAGCTCGCCGCCGCGCCCTTGCTGTTGCTGCTGCTAGTAGTGGTCCCGGGCACACGGTCCAGCCGCGTCTTTTCGGTGGCCGACTATGGTGCGGCGGGCGATGGGTCCCGCTACGACACGGCGGCGATCCAGGCCGCTGTAGACGCCTGCGCGGCGGCGGGCGGGGGCCGCGTTCTTCTCCCGGCGCCGGGCAACTACCTGACAGCGACAGTCCACCTCCGCTCGCGGGTGGTGCTGGAGGTGCCCCCCGGCGCGCGGCTTCTGGGCGGGACCAGGCAGGCGGACTACCCGCCCGAGTCGCGCCGGTGGTACCTTGTGCTGGCCGAGAACACCACGGGCGCCGGCGTCACGGGGCGCGGCGAGATCAACGGCCAGGGCGGGGCGTTCGTGGTCACGCCCAGCGAGGTGAAGAACGTCATGGTGAGCTGGAACGCCACCGGCGACTGCCTGGGCGATGAGTGCCGGCCGCGGCTTGTTGGTTTCATTGACTCCAAGGATGTTAGGATCCATGACATCACACTCAACCAGCCCGCCTACTGGTGGTAAGCATTTCTTGCTCCATCAACTTCATGGATCAATTCAGGGAAAAAAAATTGATGCCTGCTATTTTCACTGCTAAAACCATAGTTGTGAACAGGAGCAAACAAACCTGCCTGATTATTCCATTCCAATGATGCTAGAATAAACAATTTTTTACGGTTGTGTGAAATAACTTGTCCTGATATGTTTTCCTACTTATCAGGACATATGATGAACAGAAGTAGACAGTGTTTGTTTGTCAGTGTACTTTGGCAAAATTAACAGGCTCTACACTTGCATTGCTCGCAGTCTTCACCTTGTCAGATGTGACAACACAGTCATCCACAATGTGTCCATATTTGGAGATTTTAACAGTCCCAACAATGATGGCATTGACATTGAGGATTCTAACAACACTATTATAACTGATTGCCACATAGACACCGGAGACGATGCTATATGCCCAAAGTCGATCACTGGACCGGTTTACAACTTGACGGCAACAAACTGTTGGATCCGGTCTAAATCTTGTGCTATCAAGTTCGGAAGTGCAAGCTCCTTCGACTTCAAAAGGCTGGTTTTCGACAACATTACAATAGTTGATGCACATCGAGGACTTGGGATGCAGATCCGGGATGGAGGTAATAACCTACAACCTGCGTTTGTCGGTAAAGCAAACATCTTATTGAATGTGAATGACACACTAACACTTTAACGTTTGCAGGGAATGTGAGTGATGTGGTGTTTTCGAACATTAAAATGAGCACCAGGTACTACCATCCTTTATGGTGGGGAAGAGCCGAACCAATCTACATCACAACTTGCCCAAGGCACCCAGATTCAAAAGAAGGCACCATTTCAGACATAAGATTCATCAACATCTCATCGGTATCAGAAAATGGAGTTTTTCTGGCTGGATCGAAGCATGGGCTGCTCTGCAACCTGAAATTCAAGAACATAGACCTTACCTACAAGCGGTGGACAAACTACACTGGAGGGCTCTATGATTACAGGCCTGGGTGCCAGGAGATGGTGAAGCACAAGACTGGTGGCATGATGCTGGAGCATATCTCTGGCCTGGAGATTGATAATGTGAGGATGAGATGGGCGAGAGGAAGCCTGAAGGGCTGGAACGTTAATCCTATCCTCTTCCGGCCATCAACCATCGACAAGCTGTCTTTCCATGACTGGCAGTCAGTGGATGTTCAGTAAATTTAAGTGGCACAATTGTACTACATGTGTATCTATCTGAATAAAGGGGTGATTCTTTTTGTGAAATACTGAAATGTGTTAATAAGCAATCCCAACATCATTTAAGCTTCTGCAAATTGGGGGACTGGTGTGGTTTGCTATAATGATTTTATAATGATTCTGAACTCAAATGTTTAATTGTCCAAATGTGGTTTGCTTTGTGATTTTATAATGATTCTGCTACAATAATGTACCTGATATTTGTTTAACTGTCCAATATTGTCTGAATTCCAATGTTTTATTAATTCGATTCTAAGTATCATGCTTTTTGTGGTGTGAGGAAAGGAGTTCTTCACTTGGTTCTATGTTCAAGGTGCTATGTGAACTTGCAATTAGAATTATGGACACAAGTTCTGTAGGCTCATTCCTGTTTGTTATTTTTAAACCATTTCATTCAGGTATATGCTAGAGCAGAGGTTCATGATATCATAGCTGGCTGTGTTATTGAGGTGTGTAAAATGTAAATTAATGCTCTGTATCACTTGTTGTAAGTTCTACAGTTTTAAGAGCCTAAGATTGGTTATTATTGAATGTAGTTAAAAGAATGCATATGTCAGACTTCAGTATCTGAATTTATTTTGCACTTGTTTTTGATAATTCAGTAACTCTGATGTAGGCATGTAGTGACTCATGGTATTTGCTTTCGGATAGTGTGTCCACTTGTCAATCAGTGGCCTAGGAAAACCTGGTTATATTTGTTATGTCACTCAGTAATAATCCAATACATTTTACATTATCGTCATACCAGTTTATTGTCCATGTGTAACCCATTTCTGACCAATGTAAATTACAGTGTTGATCTTTATTTCTCTAGGTTGCTCGGCTGGACTCTGGAGGTTGGAGATAAGTTTTAGGCACGGTGCGGTTTTGATGGTTTCTTTTATGAAATTTCCTGATGGAATTCAGGTACGTTTTTCTGCAGGTTTGCCGTGTAACACCTGTAAGCCATAATTTCACAGCATAGTACAATCTAATTAAAAGGGGCGAATGTACTAAAAAACTAACCCAAGCCGTGGAATCGGCATGTATTCCGACCATTTTTTCTACCTATTAATGAAATGATACGCAGTCCTCCTGCGTGTTTTGGAAAAAATGCAGCATAGCACACAGCTAAGCACTACATCGACCATTGCCACATTAGTATAATAGCATATCTTCCAATGTACCAATGTGGACGATAAGAACACCAAGCACAGAATCAACAAAAACTTCAACACACATAGTGAAGTTTGAGCATGAAGTCTCTCCTTTTATATAGAACACATTACACACCAAGAAATCACTTGTTTGGTTCTGGAAATTATGCACCGCATTTACCTTCATAGAGTGTAGGGGTATTATCAAAACATAAGTTTTACCAATGCATCATTGTCAAAGAGAGTAATAATTGCTGGCATTATTTCATTACAAATTTCACTGGTGATTCTTCTCCAATACCAGTTATTATATTTTCACACCATCTTTCTAAGAAGGAGAACTGCTGTTGATGAACTTAACATGTGGAGTAATTTTTGAGGAAAATGATGTTGTCTGTGTAAGTATTATACTTGTCTTTTTTTTTCCTTTTATAAGCCATAAGAACTAATACTTTATTTTGGTCCTGGAATAGAAACCCAGTTCATTTTTTTTGCACAAGAATAGAAACCCAGTTCATGATCTTCCTAGTGATCTGTTGTAGTGGACTGGTGGGATATTGGTGGAACACAGCGAAGAAAAGTAGTTGTGTGAGGTGCACGGACGTGGCCCTGGCCCCTTTCAGCATGGTTTCGATGCTGTGCAGCGGTCTGCACCAGCAAGGTTAGGGAAGAGAAGCAGAGTATAGGGAAATAAAACCAATCTAATGCTCCATCACTACGTATTGTGTATATATTAAGTATATTACTTTTTAATGCTACTATAAACCTGGGAATGGATCTGTCTCTCCTAAAATATCCAATCATCAGCTTTGTTTTTTTTTTTTTAATATGCATATCCCTTAGAGTGCTGAACTGATTTACTATTGAAATTATAATATTCTTGAACAGGCTTGTAAATGTTTTTGTCCATGTGATGGGTGATGTATTTCCTGAGTTAAAAGACAATGAAAAGAAGATCAAAGATATTATTAGAGATGAAGAAGAAAGCTTTGAGAATACTCTAGCAAAGGTAATATTAGTTTCCTAAAGTTTTTTTTTCTGACTATAACATCCGTTTATTATTTCACTAGAGCATGAATCTTCTATTGTAGGTTTTTTTTTCTGGTATTGTTTGCCTCTATTACCACTAATGCTGTTGGTGTATTTTTCAGGGTTATGAAAAATTTAAGAAAGCTGCAGATGCTGTTAAGGATAATGGTGGAACTGTACTTAGTGGCCAGGCAAGTGATTTTGGTTTTTGAATTTCAATGCGTTATTTGTTTTTATTTTCATTCGAAGGTAAAAATGCTTTGTTTTCTGAGGTAGGTGGGTAGAGCACCTCTATTCTGTTGTACTGTTTGCAGGTTTCTTCCTTCTGTGTTTTTATAACCTGTACTTGTTGCCCATTGCTAGTCTGCTGTAGCAACAGTAGCCACTGGCACTGAATAGCCCAAGACATCTAAATTGGTTATTATGGCATCATATTTGGTGCCTGTTTGTTTCAGCTGTAGATTGTGAAAAGCAGCTTCTAGATGGTGGAATTGCTAGATGTTACAGTGTGGGGTCTGGATTGTAATTTGGTATTGCAATCTGGGTGCTTGATTGGTTCTAGGGCTGTGAAAATCTAGCAATTGCAGGCTCAAAGCCTCAAACAGACAGGCCCTTAAGTATCGCAGCTTGTGCTGTATCTGTATGATCCCATGGGTCTCAGTGCAGCTTGCGGTAGTCCTTTTAATTAACTTTTTCTGTTAATACTTGAAAGTCTTTTTGTGTGTGTGTGTGTTGGGGGTGGGGGTGATGAAGGTGTTCCTTTCTTGTCATTGAGTCAGATGCAAATGTTTCTAGAACTGTCATGCATAGATCTTTTTTCCATGGATGATAATCCAGTCTTATTTTTTTAACCGCACATTGACAGCCCTGCCTGAACTATTTAAGGGTGTGATTTTCAGGGTGAATTCATTAGCCTGGACTGAACACCCAACTATCCCAACCCAAATCTATGGCTTGTGGGTGCTTGTCCATGCTGTTTGGTGCAAGGCAGCCTGTGGTGTGAGTGATAGCCATGTCGTATGAGTTGGATGTGTCGAAGGGTGCATCAATGCTGTTTGGTGCAAGGCAGCCTGTAGTGTGAGTGATAGCCTTGTCGTATGAGTTGGATGTGTCGAGGGGTGCAGGCCCTTTGTATTGTTGCCTTGGCCCAATTGATGGTGTTTGGTGTGGTTACCCCCTAGTTTGAACCTTCTTTTTTTCTTCTTTGGAATTTGGCTAGGTCATCATAGGTTTCTTGTGTTGGCTAATAATATAGTGGTGGAATTTATAACCATGACTAGTTATTTTTACAATGTAACAACATTGCATAATTAGCATCAGTAAAAATCTATCAATCCAGAGTACATCACAAAAGATTTAGGTACGCATTCATCCAGGTTACAACATAATTAGCATATTTGATTTATGGACCCATTAAACCTGCTGGGCCAAGCTTGGGTAGGGGGTGCTTCTTGCACCATTTGGGCCAGGCACATGCTTGTTTGGCAACCGAAAACTGTTATGCTGCATGAGTGGACGTGGCTAGTGGCTAGGCATTCCTCCCTATGAAATGATTCCTGAGTTTGGGTTGCCTTTACTTTTGATGTACTTAAATAGTTCATTTATTCTTTCAGGATGCATTTGTTCTTTGGGACACTTATGGTTATCCAATTGATCTGACTGAGGTTAGTTTTACATTTGTTATTTACCTTTTAACCAGCTAATTTGCTAGAACATTTTTATGTTTAACATGTATTATTTTTATTTCTTTGCGTAGGTCATGGCAATCGACTATGGGCTGACTGTTGACAAGGAGGGTTTTAATGCTTCTATGGAAGAAGCGAGGCAAAAAGCTAGAAATTCTCGCAACAAGGTTATTTTTATGTTTCTACTAAGTGTAGAAGGTAATCCTAAGAGTCTCTTGTGGTGCCATTTGTTATCCCATTATTCTTGCTGTTTGTGTTTCTATATTTGCTGATAACATTTTCCAATATCTCTATATGTTACTGGTATTGAAATCTGTTGTCCATGTTTGTTCTTTGTTTATCTTTGAATTTCATGGTAACTGTTTTTCACCCCTTCAACTTTTACTGTATATGTTTCTTTTTGCAGTCTGGAGGAAACTCTATTGCTATGGATGCGAATGCTACAGCGCAGTTGCGCAAAGTTTTTGTGGCCCAAGGTTAGTTAGACCTTTTGTTATCTTACACATCTATACTTAGGTCCCGTTTGAATCCTAGGGGATTCTAGAATCTAGATTTCTAGAATCCAGATTTTGGATAATAAAATCTCTAGCCGTATGAGTCCTCGGTTTTTAGTATGGATTCTAGATATTTCAAAGAGTTTTTCTCCCAAATACCCCTCAGCATTGCGTTCAATTAGTAGAGTGGTTAAGAAAAGGAAAACGTAAGAACGTACAAAGTGCCTAGGTCCATGTGAATTGCATCCCATCTCCATCCCTGTGCTTGTTGGTTGCTGCATGCCCGCGCCACCTCTGATCCGTGCCAGGTTTGCTTCTTGTCTCCTCCAAATATCCCCTGCAGCATCCAATCGCTCCTGCGTCCTGATCCATGATGCGCGTCCCTTCCCAGGCCTCTCCATTGATCAACCATCACCACCAGCAGCCCAAGTCCCTGTTCCCTGTCCGCTCTCCCTGGCGTGAGGAAGCCTGTAGAGTACATGTGGATGTTGTCGCCAATGTCGTAGAGTGTGAAGCGGTGGGCCCAGATCTGTAGAGGGGAAGGACGACAGAGGAAGCGTGCGCGTACCAGCGAGTAAATCCGAACTGCACCATCATGTGATCTCACCCGCGTAGGCGGCGCTGTGCCACTCCCTCACCCACTGGGGCGTTCGCTTTCCCGTGATGCGGCTCGTCAGCGCCGGCGCCGCCCCACATGGCCGCGAATACAGCCGCTCTGATGACGAATCTGATAGCACGGCCCTGACTGCCCGGAGATCCAACATGTGTGCTTGTCATGCCGTTGGTAGCCGTCGCGTACACCGCTCCACGCCACATCCAAAGTAGGTTCGAGGCCGCTCGTTCACACTCCTCAACCTCGCCGCAGCACCAATCAGCGGAGCCGAGTTGCCTACTAGTGGCGGCGCTTGTGGCTGGGGCGGGGTGGAGGTGGCAAGAGTGGCTGTGTAGGTGAGAACGACACATGACGGCAGCCAACAGGGGAAGATAAGGGTAAGGGCAGATGTGACTTTTCAAATGTACTATCCTGTGTTATCAGGGTTTGGAGAGAGAGAGATTTCCAGAATCCTGGTGGCGGATTTCCAGAATCCTACCCATAATCTTCCCCGTTTGAATGCTTGTAGATTTTTTTATCTGGATCCTCAGAATCCCAATGGATTCAGATGGGCCCTTATTAGTTATACTCAACTTTTGGTTCTTCCCACACTTTTGATATTTGTAATCAACCATTAGAGTTATGCCAGTGTTTACTATGCTTTTCTTGATCTTACAACAACAACAAAGCCTTAAGAATTTGTAGGAACATGAAAGTGCGGTGAAGGCTATCTATACTGGCTCAGAATACATTACTACTGCTACTGGTGATGAGGACTTTGGCCTTGTGCTGGAAAGTACAAGTTTCTATGCCGAACAGGGTGGCCAGGTACACCATGTCTATATCAATGCAATAGCAATATGAAATCTGGCATTAAGTGTTTCTAAATTCACTCCATCAACCGTTAGCCTTGTTCAGTGTCTAGAAATATCAGCCTCGTCTGGCTGGCAAGTTCTCTTTAATTATTATTTTCAGGCAGTTCTTGGATAGTTACTGCTGGTATTTGATCCAAATGTGCTGTTCTAGGACTTGTTTCAATTTGCCAAACTATTGTCATGTTAAAACATTTCTGTTTTTAACTTTATTTTATCTGTATCATTTCACCATTTGAAACACAAAGTTTGTACTGTCCTTCCTGATCTCGAGACTAGAATTGTAGCGTGGGAACATTGATGCATGGCTCTAAAGGTTCTCAACGTTACTTTTAATATTGAAACTTGAAACATAGTATATAATTGTTGGAAACAATCCTGTGTGCCTAGGTGCATGCTAGTGTCAAGGTTCATAGCATTTACTTTAGCTAAATTTCAACATGGAGTAATAGGCTGATTATTTGGGTAATATTCTGCATTAATTAGGAGGCTATCACAGCCACAATTGTAGCTCACGGCTGCCTATATATGAGAGAGAAAAACAGAAAATGATAAGTTATTTTGTAGCCACCAAACCCATTGTATTTGTGTGTGTGCTTGTGTGTTAGAGTTCCTTAGTATCCTGTTGTGGGCTATCTGCCTTTCAATAATTTATATAGCTTGATGTCATTATATCACGGCAACAATATACTGCAGTTTACATTCAAAGTTATCTGCTTTTTCAAATGTCATCACTGAGACATACATTTGCTAAATCTTTTGGATTAACATGGATCTTCTGGCATCAAGATATTTGACACTGGAAGCATTGAGGGGTCTTTTGGAACTTTCAATGTGAACAACGTCCAAGTGTTTGCTGGCTATGTTCTACATATTGGCTCATTTACAAAAGGTTCCAAGGTTTTGTCTCTTGGTGATAGTGTGATATGCAAGGTGATACCTTTTACTAGCTACATTTTTGCACTGAATTAGTTCTTATGTAATCGATCATATTTCAATATGGCAAACCCATTGGTAGGTTGATTACAATCGCCGCACACTGATTGCTCCAAACCATACGTTTTCCCACATGTTGAACTTTGCTCTAAGGGTATGTTTCTACCTTGTCCAAAATGTATACAGTTGCTGTCTTTCTCTCCTGATGATTCTGCCATTGTATTTATAGGAAGTACTTGGTGATCATGTTGACCAGAAGGGTTCAATTGTTCTACCGGAGAAGCTGAGATTTGATTTCTCTCATGGTATTGTGGCTCCTTTGTATTCCACTGACTGAATTTTATGAGCTCGTTTACTTAGCTGTTAATTTAACACAGATTACTTCTCGATTAAAATAGGGCTTCATCAAGGGTCAGCCTTGAGCCCGTATCTCTTTGTCTTGATAATGGATGAAGTGACTAGGGACATTCAAGGGGATATCCCTTGGTGTATGCTGTTTGCAGACGATGTAGTGCTAGTTGGAGTAAATAGGAAACTGGAGTTGTGGCGGTAGACTCTTGAGTCCAAAGGTTTTAGAGTAAGTCAAACTAAAACATAATACATGAGATGCGACTTTGGCAACGCTACACATGAGGAGGGAGACGTGAGTTAGTGGTGCCTACGAAAGATACCTTTCGTTATCTAGGATCGATGCTGCAGAAGGATGGAGATGATGCAGATGTTTGCCATAGGATTAAAGCAGGGTGGATGAAGTGACGCCAAGCATCTGGCATTCTCTGTGACAAAAGGGTACCACAAAAGCTGAAAGGCAAGTTTTATAGAATGACGATTAGACCCGCTATGTTGTATGGAGTAGAATGTTGACATACAAAAAACGACATGTCCAACAACTGAGTGTCGCAGAAATGCGTATGTTGCGTTGGATTTGTGGTCACACAAGGATGGATCGAGTTCGGAAGGATGATATACGTGACTGTCTAGGGGTAGCACCAATTGAAGAAAAGCTTGTCCAACATCGGTTGAGATGGCTTGGTCATATCCAAAGGAGACCTTCAGAAGCACCAGTGTGTTGTGGAGTTCTAAGTCGATATATCAATGTGAGAAGAGGTAGAGGAAGGCCGAAGCCGACATGGGAGGAGGCAATTAAAAAAGATTTAAAGGGTTGGGATATACCTAGAGATCTTTGTTTGGATAGGAGTGCTTGAAAAACAGCTATTGACGTGCCTAAACCGTGACTAGGGGCTCATGTTGGGTTTCAACTCTAGCCTACCCCAACTTGCTTGGGACTAAAAGGCTTTGTTGTTGTTGTTGTTTACTTAGCTGTTAATTAATATGACAGGAAAACCTGTCCAGCCTGAAGATTTGAGAAAAATTGAGTCCATAGTGAACCAGCAAATAAAGGACGAGCTGGGTGTATATGCACGAGCTGGGTGTATATGCACGTGAAATAAAATTAGAGGATGCGAAGCGCATAAATGGTCGGTCTTTGTGCTGTGTTTGGTGAAGTAAGTTTTCTTGCTCATGGAATGTTGATATTTCTTGTTTGGCTAGTTATTAACGGGGTTCGCATATTGGTTTTGTAGATCTACCCTGATCCAGTAAGAGTTGTATCAGTTGGTCGCAAAGTGGAAGATCTGCTTGCAGATCCTGATAACAAAGAGTGGTTATCCATATCAACTGAACTATGTGGAGGTTTCTTTTCAGCTCTCTGCTATGTAATTCTATGTTTCATGATTATGATACCTAAAATTCTGTGTATATATCAGGTACACATATCACAAATACAAGAGATGCTAAAGCATTCGCACTCTTATCTGAGGAGGGTATTGCAAAAGGTGTTAGGAGGATAACAGCCGTGACTGCTGGATGTGCCACCCAGGCTATGGAGTTGGCATCATCTATTGATTCTGATATCAATGAAGCATCTCAGTTGGAGGGAGCTTTTTTGGAAAAGGTATTAAGCTTTTATCATTTTTTAGGGATTGTCTCTCCTGGAGTTGCAGTGTTGACATAGCATGATCAGTTGAGTGCTACAATAATGAACCAAAGCGTAATCTTTTTCTATGCAGCACGGATATGGATACGCGTATCGGTATCGGAAGGATACGGATACGCGGATACGGCAATTTCCTAGAAAACACGATACGCTGATACGTTTTACTATTTTTTTAATAAATAAGTAATAATGTAAATTAAAATTCTGAAAGTCTATAACTTGAGTAATCACTAATCAATTAATCATTAGTTCAGTACTCTACATGCAATCATACGTGATATATACATCACCAGATTACCTTGTAGGTTTCTTGTTTTCACAGATGATCCAAGTCCAACCATACTGGATGAATCCGCAATTACTAAAATTCTAGAACACGAGAAGTCAGAAACAGAGAGCCCCCCTATCGTATGTTGTGGTTGTGGCCGGTGACCACAGACCCGATGCTAGGACCCAAATTTGGAGAGGTCATCTACTGCATGCAAGCAATCAAGCATGTCCAATACTAATCAGGGAGGGTACAAACAAAACCAAGCAACAAGAACTGCAGCAGAGTAGATCAAGAATGGAGAAGGGGATGTACTCATGGGATGTCGCCAGGAGCTTGCTTTGTTGTTGAATCGCCCTCTCCCCTGCATTGCGGGAGCTGGCTGCGGCCATGGCGGACTGGTGGGTGCTCCCCAGTGCGGCAGTTTGGAGGAGGGGAGAAGTCAAATGATGCCTCGGACGGGGCGGAGGCTCGTCGCCGGCGGCTAGCGAGCGGTGGTGCATGCCTTGCGTAGGAGGCGGCGATGCTGTCCGTGGCTATGGCGGACTGGTAGGTGCTCATCAGCGCGGCAGTTTGGAGGTGGAGGAGAAGTTGATTGATGGCACAGAGGGGGTGGAGGCTCGTCGCCGGCGGTCGGCGAGTGGGGCGCAACCCCTGTGCAGGTGGCGGCGCGACGGGGACTCGGGGAGATAAGGAGCGTTTGTTGGGCTGGGCCGTATCCTAGAGGTGGATACGTATCCGATCACGTACTCAATATTCCAAAAATTAAATAAAAATAGGATACTTGGAGGATACGTATCGGAGGCGTATACGTATCCGATACGCGATACAGCCCCTCATTGACGTATCCGTGTTACAGAGATCTTTTTCGTGGGAGCATAAGAAACAACATTAATAAAAGCTGTTCTGATGCATGTCTTACATTAGTAATGTTTTATTCTTTAATAACCACTAGGAAACATGCCCGTATGTTGTAATGGGATGTACAATTTGTTGCACAGTCCTCAAGCCAATGAAAATGAGCAAGCTATTTTTATTGGATTTAATTGGGGTTGGCCTAACCTTATAAATCATATACTCCCTTCGTCTAGAAAAAGATGCAATTATAGCACAGTACCAAGTTAAAGTATCTTAAGTTTGACTAACCATATATAAAAAAGCATCAATTATTATGATATCAATTAAGTATCATTAGATTTGTCATGAGATATATTTTCATAGTATACTTATTTGGCGTTAGAAACATTAATATTTTTATCTATATATATTTGGTCAAACTTTAGGCACTTCAACCAAGAATACACCTAGAATTGCATTCTTTTTGGGACGGAGAAAGTAGATTCCATGGCCTTTAATTAATGTTAGTGCTATAAAGTATTAATGTTAGTGCTATAAAGTATTAATCCCATGTAGAAAATTGATAGGAGATTGACTCAACTTAAATATGTGGATATTGTGTGCACCTGTTGTGAGTTTAAGAACGGTGGAGGGCGAACAACATACGTGCCACGACATGAACGGGCTCTGTCAGCCAGGCGGACATGAGTAGTGCAGCGCCAACAAAGGTTTTGCAGCTCCAAACTTAAAGCGAGAAAGCCGAGAGTGATGGACGACTTACTGAGGGATGGATGGATGGCAGTGGAGAAAGTGAAACGGAAGAAAGAACATTTCGCTCTTTAATATTATGTATAGATGTAGATATAGGTAACATGGCACTCTTGTTCAAACAGATGTGAGGGATGACTGACTGAGGGACGGAAGAGGAGTGAGAGATAGATGGTTTGGAAAAAGTAAGAGACGGAAGATACTTCCGCTCTTTAATAGGAGGTATATATAGATATAGACTAGATGGCAAATTGTAGAATGACTATAATGCACGAGTGGTATAGAATTGTCAAACCACATTCACATTTAAAGTGTTTATTATAGATCTAGTCGACACCATTGGGCAGGTTGAAGGACTGCATCTGTACATTACTCCTGTGGAATTGTGGACTTCTTTGTCTTTTCTGCTGAGATATATATCATTTCTAAGATTACCGTCTAATATCAATGTCCCTTTATCAGAAAATTGCTTCCATCAAGAGTGGGCTGGATGCAACTGCTATCCCTGCTGCGAAAAAAGCTGATTTGAGAGGCAAGGTTTCAAAGTTAGAGGTCTGTAAATGTTTCTATTTGAGATGTCATATATATGCTCATGTTTAAGAAAGAAGAATCACCTATGACATTTATGTTCTCTTTTTAATAAAAAGTTACCACCTAGTAATTTACTCCCTCAGTTCCAAATTGTAAGCCGTTTTGATTTTTCTATACATAGTGTATACTTAGGCGCATAGCAAAAGCTATGTATCTAGCCAAAGTGACATACAATTTGGAATGGAGGGAGTAATAGTTTAGTTTTAGGATGATTATAACTGTTGCACGTCTCAGGATGAACTTAGGAAGGCAAAGAAGAAAATGGGTGAGCAAAATATACAAAAGGCTGTGAAGTCTGCAATGGATGCCGCAGAAGCTGCTCTTTCAGGAAATAAGCCGTTTTGTGTTACTCATGTCGATGTGGGTCTTGATACCACAGCTGTTCAGGAGGCGGTTATCAAAGTCATGGACCAGAAGGTACTTGCATTGTTCATTTTCGCTTTATTGTTAAAATAATGTTAGTAAATTGCTATAGTACATGGCATGTTGTAGAACTATTTTATCCCATCTCAAGTCTTAGACATCCTGGTTAACTTTGGATATGTCTTGGCCCAGGGTTTGCCTATAATGTTATTCAGCACTGATGAGGCATCAAACAAAGCTGTTATCTATGCTGGTGTGCCTCCCAATGCTCCTAGCGGCTTCAAGGTGTTGGACTGGCTAACACCTTCAATTGCACCACTCAAGGGAAGAGGGGGTGGCGGCAAGAACGGCATCGCCCAGGGCCAGGTGAGTGAGCAATCTATTCCTAGAATATTCTATGGTCTTGGGTGCAAGTCATCAAGTAATAAATGTCTAAATCAATTCTGCGATTCCTTTTACTGCAGGGAAGTGATGCTTCTCAGCTAAGGAAGCAATGGCACTTGCGAACAGCATTGCTTCAGTGAAGCTCTGCTGATTGGTGATAACAGGTGCACTCCCCATGGGGTCTTATGCGTGGCTGTTGTTGGATTACACTTCGCTTTTAGTTTTCCATTTACCCAATGTACTTACCAAAACTGTAGTGTCGGTGTTTCAAGTTGTCACCGACAAGTGAATTTCTAATATTGCGCGTCTGGCTCGGATGGTATGCTTAGAGGACACGAGGTTTATACTGATTCAGGTAGAATGTCCCTACGTTCAATTCATTGCTGTTGCTCGTGTTACTAGCACTGAAAGTTCGTAGTAGGGGTTACAAATGGTCAAGAGAGGGACAGGTCCCAAGTCTCTGATGAGAAGAGCGAACGGGTGTCGAGAGCTCGGTCGCTTTCTGGCTATGTGCTTGTGTGTTTTAATCGGTTTGGTGTTTGATGGGTTCGAGTCCCCTTCATGGGATGCCCTGGTTTTTCATTTATAGGTCAAGGGAAAGCACGTGTTATAGTGGAGGGAAAAGAGGAGAATGAGAAGAAGACATCATTCAGGATCGTCGGGTCCTTCTTTTCCTTCACGCGGGTTCCGCCGACCCTGTAGACGTCAATAGGGACAGCTCCACGTCGTGGCCCTGTCCGTCACTGGCGCTATGCGTAGGCGTCGTCTCCCGGTCGTGGCGCTCCACTCCGTTCTGGCGGACATCGTGGTGAACTGACGTGGCTGTCAGTGCTCGTACGAGGGTTAGGCAGAACAACACCGGTACGCCCGACGCTGTTCCTGATGTGAATCCCCAGGTATGGCCCGTCACGGCCACGGGTTATATCGGGGCGTGCCGGTCACCTACCCGGTGTCAGAGCTTTGACCCAAGCCTATTCGCTTGGACCTGGAGTGGTTGGCGGCGGTATGGGTCTTCGTCGGGTGAGACGGATCCCCTGGCCTTTGAAAGGTCTTTGTGTGGTTTTGTTAATTGAGTGACAAACTATGTTGACTAATTGTGTTTATGTGAGATATATAGATGATTAGTCCACTGGTACATGTGTGTGAGCAACATATGCCATGAAGGTGGAAATGGCTTGGAGATGTTGCAAAGCTCAAACATGTGATGATGAAAGAGTTCATTGCACATGAGACATGACATTGAGTCATGTGATCAAAGTGGAGAAGATCAAGACAAGACTTGGCTTGATGGACCGGTTGCAAGCGTGAAGGGCAAGTTGGAGGCTTTGGAGCGATGGACTGCGTGGCGGTGAAGCTTTAGCAAGACTTGACGCCGATGAACGAAGGCAACGGTGAAAAGCAAGTGAAGTCAAGATCGATGAACTAATATGATCACGTGATGATATGAAGTGGATCATATCATTAATGATCGTGTTGGTGCATGTGTTGCATCGACATTGGAGGAGATGGAATGGAATGCGCAAGGCAAAGGTATAACCTAGGGTATTTTATTTCACCGGTCATAGGTGTGTAGAGAAGTTGATGACCGGGTTTAGAATAGATGGCCGTACTATCAAGAGGGACAAACTTATTTGCATATCGGTTATCTAGTGTCACTTGAGTGATCTAACGTTGCACCATCGCTATGATTGAGTAGCGTGGTAAGTTGAGTGGCTAATCCTTTAGAAAATGATTGTGAAAACGCTAACACACATACACATGGTGTACACTTGGTGGTGTTGGCACATTTACAAAGGAGAAGAAGTTGGAGTTGATGTGGATCAACTCGGCGATGAAACGGAGGTAAGAAGCTGTCACTGTGAGTGACCGGACGCTGGCCTCGGCAGGACCGGCGCATCCGGTTAGTGGCAGCAGAGAGCGCGTAGGCGTCAGTCTTCGACCGGACGCTGGGCAAAGAAGTAACCGGACGCACAGTGGTCGCATTTGGTCAAGGTGACGTACGGTGACGTAGGCGGCGCTAAAGTTGGCGCGCGGGCGCAGAGCTGATCAGACGCTGGTCTGCGTCCGGTCGTGCAGGAGCGGACGCGTCCGGTCACAAAACAGAGGCTCGGGGAGCTCTCTAGAAACGACCGGACTCTGGCTGGTATGCGTCCGGTCGTGCAGGAGTGGACGCGTCCGGTCGCAAAACAGAGGCTCAGAGAGCTCTCTAAAAACGACCGGACTCTGGCTAGTCTGCGTCCGGTCGCAAAACAGAGGCTCGGGGAGCTCTCTAGAAACGACCGGACTTAGGCGTAGCAGCGTCCGGTCATCCTCGCTGTGCTGCGTCCGGTCGCAACTTAACCGTTGGCGCGCAAAGTTACTATTGAGATCGGGTGGCTCTGGTTGTTCGTAGAGCGACACGTGGACGGCGTAGCGCAACCGGACGCTGGACCGGGTGCGTTTGGTCGATCCGACCGGCACGTTCGGTCAGCACGAAAAACGCCCAGTGAAGGAATAACGGCTATTTTAGCCCGTGAGGCTATAAATAGAAGTGTTGGTCGGCCTTTGGCTGACAGCTTAGTAGAGCTGAGTACACTAGAGCCTTGGTGGCTTATGTGGTAATGCTTGAACGCCCTCTAACTCACTTGAGCTTGATAGTGTTCATCCGATCGAGTGAGTGAGCAATTCTAGTGCGATTGCATCGTGAGGTTGCATCGAGTGGCACTAGGTGATCGAGTTGCAAGCTAGTGGTGCTTGTTACTCTTGGAGGTTGCCACCTCCTAGACGGCTTGGTGGTGGTCTCCGTCGAAACCCGCAAGAAGGTTGTGCGGTGCTCGGAGAAGAGCTTTGTGAGGGGCATTGTGCTCGTCCCGTGCGGGAGCCGCGAAGAGCAACTCTAGTAGAGCGAGACACGAAGGGCGACAAGTGGTCCAGCCAAGTCAAGTGCTAGAGCTTGTGGTAAGCACTCCACGTGGGAGAGTGTGACTTGCGGGTCACCACTAGCAAGAGGACTGGCGGCAACCTTGGAGCTCGTCTCAACGGGGACGTAGTGTGTTAGCAAGCACGTGAACATCGGGAGAAAAATCACCGTGTCAACATTGTTCTTCCCATTGGTTTGTAATCCCCTTACACAAGCTTGTAATTACTTTTATATACATTGTGCTTGTGTAGTTGCTCTTATAATTAGTTAGCTTGTGTAGCTTGCTAGTTACCTTTTTGCTTGTGTAGCATAAAAGTAGCTCCCTTGCGTGGCTAATTTGGTTTGTGTAACATTGTTAGCCACATTGCTTAGTTTATGTAGCTAAGTATTTGCGCTCTCTAATTTGACATTGGTTGTCTTGTTATTGATCATAGCTAGTGAGCTTAGGAGCTTTGTGCTTTTACTTACTAGCATGTGTAGGAGCTTCCTCGTTGCTTAAAGTACTAGTTGCATAGGTTTGTGTGACATTGCTTCTAGAATTGGATAGGTGAGCTCTAGCTAGCCCGACACCTTAATTGTTTAATTAGGATCTTTATAAGGTGCTTGTGAACTTCGATAGATGGGTGTAGTCTTGGCTAAACCGATTGTTTTAATTCCGTATTTGTTTCGGTTAGCCGACGCGATTAAATTTAGAAATGACTATTCACCCTCCATCTAGTCCGTCATCTCGACCTTACAGCCTCGGGGTCGGTCGAGGCGGAGTTCCCCCCAGAGGTCGGGCTCGACGGAGCGCAAACCCAATGGTCGGGCGAGGCGGAGCCCGCCCTCAGAGGCTGGGCGAGGCGGAACCCACGGCCTCGGTGTCGGGCGAGGCAGAGCCCGCCCTCAGAGGCCGGGCGAGGCGGAACCCGCGGCCTCGGTGTCGGGCGAGGCGGAGCCCGCCCTCAGAGGCCGGGCGAGGCGGAGCCCGCGGCCTCGGTGTCGGGCAAGGCGGAGCCTATCCTCAAAGGTGGGGCGAGGTGTAGCCCACCCTCAGAGGTCGGGCGAGGCGGAGCTTGTACACCTGGGGTTCGGTTGAAACTGTAGTCGCGCTTTTGACTGTTCGGATGAATCAATGTTGATGGTTATTAACTCCTTCTCTTCGGGTACGCTAGTATTGGTCCCGATATATAGCCACCTAACATTAGTCATGGCAACCTTTGGCCGTAATCCAATAAACAGACCCGTATAACTTTCTTTTTAGGACATTTACTTCTTGGCCAAACAGAAAATAGGAATTCCTTAATTCCTTTGTGATTTATTTTTCAATCGCCATCCTTAATAAACTATAGAATATAACCATGATATTAGCAGTTGGATGCTCATCTGAGGGCCTAATATGGCGTGACGAAAAATAAGTTAGTTTGAAACACTTAAAAGTTTAATTCCTTATTTTATGAATTTTTTGATATAATATAAGCAATTAAATTCATTTTTCACTCCTGCCGGAGATGCCTTGACCAAATTGGTGCCGCGTGCTTATATGTACATGCTAGCAGTCTCGCCTTCTCGCAGCCTGTTCGGCTGGGGTGAAACGATCGTAAATTTCTAGCCGGAACAGTATTTTTGTCTCACACAAACTAGCCAGCAGTACTTCTTCACGAACCAGCAACGATACGAACCAGCCAACCGAACATGCTGTCGGTGATTAATTTGCATAGGCTTCTGGTGGATGTGGATGTGCTATCCATGTAATATTTAAAAGCGAAATTCCCTGAGCCAATGTATGATTGAACTTCGTGAGGTTAAACACAATCTCTGAAGATATCTTATTTTGCTTTTCTCAGAGTAAAAAAAAACAATCATTTGTATCGTGTAACATCCGGATATCCATGGACATGATTAAAGAGGAAGGTCCAGACCCTTGCCCTCCACCCCAATTATCTGAAGAATCCCCTTGTTTAGCACCTGAATTAAGAAGCCGACCTTCAGAAACTCAAGTACAAGCAATACTCCAAACATTTACATGTTTGTGAAGACAAATAGACAATGTAGTGAATTCCTTCATTACCAGTTCCACGAGGAAGGTGTCAGTGAGGCTTGTGAAGACAAATAGACAGTGTAGTGAACTAGTGCAAAGGCTGTAACTATGCTTTGCTTCAATCATCATTGTTGCCTGTCAGGCAATTACTTTGGCATGTTTCTTTCAAGCCCTTGTTTTAAATTCAATGGACTAACTAGCCCTTGTGTAACTTGTATTTGATATGTTCACTTTGATTGCATTTTGAGGAATCATTCTTACTGCCAGCCTGCAGATATTACTCAGTTGCATCTCTATCACACATGATTGAAAGTCACCTTGTACGATTGCCATTCCCCTTTCACTTACGTGGTGATTTCTGCTACATAAGTGATGAACCAACAATGAAACTTTAGACAAGGTTGCTGTATGAATCAAAAGAAAGGTCATTGTTGGTTCATACTGCAACCTTGTGCTATTCAGGCCAATTTTTGGACCTTAGAGGTGAGGTTTCAGAAAGAATAATGGGATAGACTATTAGAGCATCTCTAAGAGTTTTTCTTAAATTCAATCTCTAAATTATCATTTGGAGAGCTATTTAAATAAAAATAATTATCTATATCTTTCACACTTCAACAACTTTTTCTATATATCTTGTGTGCGCTTTAGAGAGCCAGTCTCGCTATCCATCTTTGGCTAGTGAGAAATCTGAAATAGAGAATGACAGTATTTAGAGGTCTAATTAAAGAATCTGTTGGAAGGTATTTTATTTTATCAAAACTTATATTCCTATCGATTAGGAATGATATAAAGAGCCTATTGGAGTTGCTCTTATGGACTGCAAAACCATCTCTCTCGATAATCTTAGAAATATTATTGGATGACCCTAGTACTATTTTAATGAGGATACGATATTAGGAGATATGTGAATAGTACCTGAATTGTACACACTTGAAAGAGATGTTAAAGTGAAGATACTCATATTTTTCTCCAACCTGTAGACTGTAGTGCCTCGCAGGTTTTGAATACACTATTGTCGACTCAAGGTTTCTTTTCATTTGTAATTTGACATGTTTTTGTTGGCACGTACATGTAAGGTGCTTGAGCATCTCAAACTAAAGCAGTCCATAGCGATTAAAATAATATCCACCGGCTAGCTAAAACACTGTGAGACTAGTCCATAGAGTAGTTCATAGCAGAAGGTACCCATAAGCTTATGGACTCCCCGTAGTGAATAAAAAAGTGTTACTTTTTCTTACTCCTCCCTCTCTCTCTTCCTCGATCTTGCACACGATTGGATAAGACAAATTTTTTATATCAGATGGAGCCCACTCTAGACTACTTGTTGTCTGAAATATTATAGGAATAAAACAATAATTATGGACTACTTATGTGGGTCCTATGTATATGGATTACTTTGCCATATACGTTGTGGTTGCTCCACTCATGACACGCCAGGAGCACCGCATTATTTTATATTCATGGCATCTGTCTAGTTATGACAATATTATATTATATTATATTATTTCATGCTTTTTGAGGTCCAGATGTATTCATCTTGTTTTGATGTGAATTAAAAAAAACAAAGTATAAAATCAGCTGCACACTTAATGTGTTTGATGATAAAGCCCCAAATCTGAAGAATAACTGCTCAACTGGTTAAAACACTTTTGTGCAATAGGTGGTTCCAAACACATTAGATTTTTATTAGTAGTATGGTGTATAGAAAGACTATGAACGAAACCGCATATGGGATTTTGAAAATAAAATTCAATGAAAAAGAAAAAAGGAAAGAAGGAATTCATTTCAAAGGGAAAAGGGGAAATGTTTTTTCTTTTGAGAGGATAAGAAGACAGCCCTCACTTCTGTACAAGATCCAAAGCAAACCGTAAAGACCGTTCAGCCCATAGATAACAGCAGCTTCTGCTAAGCCCAGCCCAGCACTCTCAACCCAAGCCCAGCCCATTTACAGCACATCCTGGCTCCTGCAAGCGGGACGCCGGCCAACCCGCAGCCAGTCTCCATAGCGCAACCTCGACGAGCACCCAAATCGACGACTTCTTCCCCCCTCTCCGATCTCGACGCGCACCGATGCGGGCGATGTCGTCGGCGGTTAGTGGGATGCTGCGGGCACGGCTGCGCGGGGCGATGCGCGTCCGCGGCGGTGGCGGCGAGGGGGCCGGGCGGTGGACGACCCCGGGACACGAGGAGCGCCCCAAGGGGTACCTCTTCAACCGGCCGCCGCCGCCGCCGGGGGAATCTCGCAAGTGGGAGGACTGGGAGCTGCCCTGCTACGTCACCTCCTTCCTCACCGTCGTCATCCTCGGCGTCGGCCTCAACGCCAAGCCCGACCTTACCATCGAGACCTGGGCGCACCAGAAGGCGCTCGAGCGCCTCCAGCAGCAGGAGCTCGCTGCCGCCGACGCCCAGGCCGAGTGATCCGCGCGTCTCAGGTCCCCTCGAACCCTCGGCTGCCTCTGATTTGGTTCCAATAAGATAGTCATGATGTGTGGTCCTGAATTTTCTGGTATGGATGGAACACGAGCTCAACATTATGACGTTTTTTCTGTTTCGTTGAAATTTGTCCGATGATGATGGCGACTGCCCTAAACATTGTGAAATGTTTCACTGTTGAATTATCATCTTCATCCTTCGGTTGTACTACTACATGACCACAGTTTAGGATTTTACTTGTCTCTCCCTTCCGCAGATAGCTATGTTGTGAAATGTTTCTTATGTTGATTGAGAGCCCCAGGCATTTGCCGCATTTCTCAGTAGGCATATTACATATAAATCAGGAGCACTGCTATGCGACCGACACATGTACAACCTGGCCTAATCTATCAATCAGAGAGCTCGTTTTTATCCATTTGAGATATGCAGCACACATGTTTAGTTGCACACAGACACAGGTCAGATGCCCATGGCCATACGCATAGCCATTCTAATAAATTAGTTTTAAAATGATAGATGGTAATGCATACTGTGTTAGTTAAGTAAATGTGTAAATTTGTTGGGATTTAGGTATAGTTGTATGTAAGATGCAGAACAATATTTAGGTGACTACATAAGGTGCAGACTGCAGAGGCTTAGCGTCTGTGGTAACCTAACCTGTTATCTCATTTAATGAAAAGGTAGATTGAAATTGTCACCTCGAGCCAAATGGAATGTTGCCTTGATGTTGTCACAATGAATCCTGTGAATCTTTGATCATAGTTTAGACTCAAATAATTATGTTGTGCAATTGAATTGCTGATGCTTTGAGTATCTACTGATCTACATTGAATGTGATGTTCTTGGTGAAAATGTTCATGGATTGCTTAGATGTCTTAAAATAAGATAATGTTTTAACGTTTAAGTACAGCTGCTGTTCAGGAGGGTGTGGGCCATGCTTGCCCATACCCTAATTTGAACATCAATTCCCCATTTTCACCCTTATCTAATTTGTACATACCCAAATGCTCTTACCCAATCAGGAATCAGATAAATTTAACAGGAAATGGGTGGGGAAGTTTGAATTTTCTGATAAAAAGAAAAAGAATTAGAGACAAAGGCACAAAGCAGCAAGAAATGACTGATTAACAACATGTCACAATACTACGGCATAGAAAGAACCAAGGCACTAATTAAGGATCGGAAGGATCACATCCCAGTTACATTTTATGTTCATAGTCTTGTTTCAACTCGCCTATCTTCATACATGCGGCATATGCTAGAACTTTTCAGTGGAAGAAGACGATCAAAGGTACTGCGTAAAAATTATACATACGCATTTCATGGGAACCAATCGAGAATTTTGGAAAGGCCAGCTGGAATTGACCCAATTGTAGATACATGCAGTCAGAAGAACCAATTTTGGGGGGGGGGATTCAGAATTTGGTTCACCATCTGATTTGACCAGCTGTAGAAATTTTTACAGCGCCAGAATTCAAGCTTGCAGTTTTACCAGATCCATAAAAGCATTAGTAGATAATTTGCTAATGTTTCTATTTCGTTTTTTAATTTATCTGATGATGGTGAATGCCTTATTCCCCTGAAACATTTTAAAAATGTTTTGCAGCCATCCCCTTCATCCTTTGGTTGTAATTGTCTACATGAAACAGTTAAGAACTTAGGATTGTCTTCTGTCTATTCTGCTGATAACTCTGCTGTGAAAGATTCTTATGGTATATGAGAGTCAAAGCCTTTGGCGTCTCTCAGTATGTTACTTGGAGAAGTTAGTTTGAAAGCGTTAGAAGAAGACAGCCCATAATGTGTAAATGTGCTGGGCTGTGGGTATAATCATATAGAAGATGCAGGACAACATTTTTTTAGAGTTCAAGGGTGGCCCCCGGCCTTTATATTGCAAAGACCAACAGTTAAGCATTCATACATCATCCAAAGCACCAGAAGCATTTATCAGCGCAATACATCACTCAGCGAACAGAACATATAAGCAAACCAAAATTTCAGGAAAAACTACATTCCCCACGCCTCTCGCATCCCTGCGAAGCTGATCCACTTCTTCTGTAGCTTAGCCTTCTCCAAGTCATCCACCAGCAACGCGCTAGCTTCTTCCGGAAGCGTCAGAGACTTCCAATCACCACCAGATAGATATAAGAGACGCTCCCACTTGTTGTTTATCTGGTCAACCCAGGCATCCTGTGAGGCCTTGTAGCCAGGTGTTTCAAATTCTCCAGGCGCTTCATGAACTCCGGGACATAATCCTTTGGGCACAAGGCAACCCAGTTCTGCAGCATGCTGGCTACCTTCAGTAGCAGCACACGCCCATCTTTCCACTGCAGGCCCTGAAAACACAAACTATTCCTTAGCTTCCAAAGCCCCCACAGGGCAGATGCAGGACAACATTTGGATTGGTATTAGGTGTAACTATTAGCTTCTATTGTAGCTGAGCCCGTTTTCTCATTTAATAAAAAGAGATACGAAGCCAAGTCAATGTAAAGGTGGAATGCTGCTTCATTAGTGCCGCTATGAATCTTATGGTCAGATATGCATGTTGTACACTTGAATTGATGATACGATGAAGGATAAATCAGTGCCTATTGCTTTGCACTGAATGTGATGGTTTGTGGTAAAACTGATCATGGATTGCTTAGACGTCTTAAAAATAAGATAATATTTTGACTTTTAAGTTGGCAAAGGATCTGAGCCATAGTGTAGAGAGATAAATGTAGAGAGATAGGGAAACACACACCCTCTTAGGGGGGGGTTGACCTTTCATATATATAGCCCAATGGGGCTTGGATTACATCATGTCCAGATACAACGTATACAAGACTGTACATGTGTACAATACATGTCTAATACCCGCCCGCAGTCGCAGCGGGAGGATCTCGGACGCAAAGACTGGACCTAAAGTCAGTGAACAGCTGTACATGTAAGCCTTTGGTCATGATGTCCGCGAACTGATGTGTCGTGGGGACATATAGCACCCGAACCTGTCCCAAGGCAACCTTGTCGCGGACGAAGTGAATGTCAATCTCGATGTGCTTCGTGCGACGATGGTGGACATGATTAGCAGTCATATAGACAGCCCTAACATTGTCGCAGTACACGACGGTCGCAGAAGCAATAGGTGCGTGGAGCTCTTGGAGAAGCTGACGAAGCCAACAACACTCAGCGACGGCAGGCGCAACCGCGCGGTACTCATCCTCGGCACTGGAACGGGACACCGTCGTTTGGCGCTTGGAGGACCAAGAGACCAGATTGTCACCGAGGAAGACGCAGTAGCCGGACGTAGAGCGCCTGGAGTCTGGACAGCCCGCCCAGTCCGCGTCGGAGTACGCGGTGAGGGAGTCAACCGGCCGAGCTGAGGTGGAGGCCGGTGGACAAAGTGCCCTTCACGTAGCGGAGGATGCGCTTGATCAACGCGAGATGAGGCTCGCGTAGGGATCGTGCATGAAGAGGCACACCTGCTGGACCGCGTAGGCGAGGTCGAGACGAGTGAGTGCCAGGTACTGTAGAGCGCCGGCAAGGCTGCGGTATTGGGAAGGATCGGCGACTGGAGCTCCATCGGTGGTGGAGAGCTTGGCACGAGTGTCAACTGGAGTCGAGGTGGAGTGACACTCGGCCATGTCTGCCCGCTGAAGTAGATCCACAACGTACTGGCGCTGGGAGAGGAACAGCCCCCCCCGCGAACGTGTGACGGAGATGCCGAGGAAGTGGTGCCAATCGTCGAGGTCGGTCATGGTGAACTCGGAGTGGAGACGCGCCATGATGCGCTGTAGCAGGTCGGATGAGGACGCCGTAAGGATGATGTCGTCGACATACAGCAGCAGGTAGGCGGTAGCGTCCCTCTCTTTGAGCACAAAGAGGGACGTGTCGGAGACGGATGCGACGAAACCGAGTAGGCGGAGATGGGCGGCGAACCGCTGGTACCACGCCCGAGGAGCCTATTTTAGGCCATACAGAGAACACTGCAGAAGACAAACATCATCAGGGCGTGCAGGGTCGACGAAGCCTGGAGGGTGCTGGCAGTACACAGTCTCCTCCAGATGACCGTGAAGGAAGGCATTCTTCACGTCAAGTTGGTGGATCGGCCAGGAACGCGAAGCAGCAAGGTTGAGGACGACGTGTATCGTGGCAGGCTTGACAACGGGGCTGAATGTTTCGTCGTAGTCGATGCCGTGGCGCTGAGAAGCCACGAACCACCCAACGTGCCTTGTGGCAGGCAAGGGAACCATCCAAGTGGAATTTGTGTTTAAAAATCCACTTGCCCGTCACAACATTGGCGCCAGGAGGACGAAGGACGAGGCGCCTTGTACTTGTCAGCCATAGCAGCCCTCCACTGAGGGTCGGCCAAGGCACTCTGGTAATTCACCGGTACCGGCGAGATGACGGAGTGGGTGGCGGAGAAGCCGTAGCGCTGAACCTAACGAAGAGTGCTAGTCTGCGACCGGGTGATCATCCGGGGTGCTGGTACAGGAGCTGCTGCTGCAGCCGGCGGTGCTGGCGCCGCTGGTGTAGGTGCCGGCGCTGCAGCAGCCTGCTCAGGAGGTGGCTGGACCGCTGGAGGTGCCCGGGGACGCCGACTGTACGTCAGACGGAAGCCCCGGGCTGGTGGTAGAGGAGCGGCTGGTGGTGGTGGTGGTGCAGCCACCACAGACCGAGTAGGGGCAGCAGCCACCAGAGGCCCGCGAAGGAGGATCGCGGGGTCATCCTGCAGCTCCTCAATAACCACCTGAGTATGGCGCGGTTGCTCAACGTATGTATGTGACGGAGCAGCTGTGGTAGTACCTGCAAGCAAGAAATCCAGGCCGCTGTGCGAGGACACGGAGGTGTTAAGCCCGAAGGGAAAACAAATCTCGTCAAAAACAACGTGGCGCGAGATGATGATGCGCTGTGTCGATAGATCGAGACAGCGATACCCCTTATGGGAAGAGGGGTAGCCGAGAAAGACACAAGGTGTGGAACGGGGGGCGAGCTTGTGGGGAGCCGTG